TACAGAAAGCCCCAAGTCATGTCAAGGTAAAATAAACTACATGTACTGTACGATACACGATTCATACAAAATGGCTACAAATTGAAACATTAATCATTTTGTTTTTCTATAGCAGAGCCAGGCTGTCACAAACTGGATGTCTTGTGTGTTTTTTTTTCGTAAACATTTGTCACTGAAATCGACAATATAGCAGTGATGCGAGTTATTGAAAACAAAAACATATCAGTGAAGTGGTAGCATCACTGGACGTGTTATGTGGCAAATACATCATCTAAAATTGAAATGAAGCTATAAAAAACACATGAAAAAGACATGGAAAATGGTGATAATTATTGACCCATTTACCCATCAGCCCATGCTCACATCACACCATGGCGATTACTATACATCTGGCCATGTTCGACTGTTATGACCTGGCCAAGTTAGACTGCATTCCTAAAAAGACAGTTTTACAGTATGCACCACCTCCTGACGTAACTTTTCATCAATGTCTTCAGGATTATAACTTACACATTATCTTTGTCTAAGCCTGATATCAAGAATTACCCACAGAGCATGACAGTACTTCCACAGCAGGGTAAATATCTGAAGCTACTTATTTCGATTAGTTATGACAAGCTTAGCAAGAATAGAAACTGCACAATTCATACATACAAGTATGATGGAACATAGTAACTCCATCAAATAAGTCTGCAGGTAGTTTTAATGCAATGGCATTTTAGTAGCTTAGTAGTTTTATTCTTATACTAATTTTCATGTTTTTAATTCCAATCTTAGTTACATTTATTCAATGTTTTATTGGTGATTTTGGTGGAGTGAACTGTACATCAGTTTTGCCTTGTCCTAAACAATAACATTAGCTTATATTTTTGTTCTTAGTTTTATAATTACATGTATATCATGTATTTAATGTGCTATGTGTGATATTAGTTGCGTGAAGTATTATTTCTGTTTTTGTTTTACAACAATAAAATTACTCTCTGTAGTAGATTTTCGTGTTGAATACAAATTATTATTATTATTATTTATGAGTGTATAATAATAAATTTTGAGGTTCAACACATACATTCCCTCGGCTAGTCATATACTTATTTATGTAATGGAGAATTAGTTGTGTTAAAACAAATATAATAACGTTTTACTGCGGTTTAAGAGTTATTAACATTGATAAATGGGACATAACGTTGGCAGAGACACTGACATATTCGTTATTTGAACAGTGTTACAGAACAGATGTCCCTCCCAACATTCACAGCTGACACCACACAACCGAACCGGGTCACACAGCTCGACGTGTCCCCATTTAGTCCTGTCATCGACATTAAACTCCTCAATCAATCAATACAAACAACTTGAAATTGTGATCAGGACGTGGTGGCCACTTTATAATAAAATTCCACGCTCTCACCTTAGCAGCATGTTCTATACGTTTGTCGTTTTGTTGTTCCGTTTTCTTGTGAACAAAAACAGAGACTCGGGAACCATCGTTCCTTTTGGCTGGATGAATCGTCCAGTCTTGTTGCGAAGGTGTCTCTAATGGCTCTTCGAGATCGCAACCCTGTAAAATACTAGTCTCTGTCCCCATAGTTATAATATAGAATGTCCTCTAGTCCATCGTGCTCAGTGGTTGTGTTAATTTCCCACGAATATTCATAAATCAAAGTAACATGTTAGCGCAAAGACACATCACAACACGACAGCTACCATATTGGAAATAAGGTCTCGCCATTAACGGGAATCGCGAACACGCACGCTGAGATCGAATGTACAACGTGAGGGCGCACCAACAATACCTATTCAATATTTATTCTGTATAAAGGGACCTAGACTGGTCCAAATTTTTTTGTACGATATTATTTATTAAAGTAGAAACACACTCATAACTTTTGACAAAATTAGTCATAAATCGCATGGCAATGTTTTCGGTATATTATGCAAAATCGGAAGTACAATTTATTGCAAAATAAATAAATTCTGAGTGTTTCATTGCATTTATGAGTTGGCTTCTACGGTCAGTTTTAACTCACAATAACATCATATTCCTATGCTTAACGAGTTTTAAGCGTTGTGTTTGTTTTTGCTGTTCCTGTTTTTGTATAGGCTTTTTCATTTCATGAGTTAATAAATGTTATAATGCGAAATTGTTACAATAATGAAGAAAATTAAATACAATCACGTGGTCACCGTACTCGGTACGGAGAAAATCGATGTGCAGAATGGGGTGAAAACAACACGTTTTATCTGTTTAAGAGAATTTTACCATTGGTTTCCGTGGCAAGAATATGGTGATCAAATTTGATAATATGGGTGTTTTACAATGTGTTTGTTCTTGTCTAGAAGTATTACACAATTGTCATTATTTTTAGCGGGTTTGAATGACGAAATGTGTTTCCATGACAATCTATGGAAATCCCAGCAAAATTGTCATTTAATGCAAATTATTTGACAGCTTTTCTAAATAAAAAATAGACTAGCAGTGAATTTTTAAAAAGTTCACACACTGTTGAGTAATGCTAAAACAACAGATTTTGACATAAAATATTGTCATTGCCCGCTGATTGCGCTAATATACGAACACAAGCAGTATTCAACCTAAAAAAAATAGAATATCAGGGCCAGTAGTCTACAACAACCCTGGTAGTGTAAAAAAAAAGGAAAGACGGAAATCATCACGGACCAAGAACAATTACAACCGAAATTAAAAAGTATAACACTATAAAGTACTTTCAATAAATGCCCAGCAAAAAAATAAAGGGCGGTGGTCGTCACGCAGCGCGTGTACGAATTGTTATGTAAACAAACAATGTATTTTACACGCGTTGAAAGTAGTTGTTTTGAAATATCACAGTGAAAATCAGCACGGCTTTACCGTCACCACACGCCGATTTAAAAAATACAATTTTCTAAGCAAATATGATTTGTGATATGCCCGAGTCGATATTTACATTACGTTTCCAATGTCTTGCATATGTATGTTACCAGTTTATCTAAACAGGATTTCATTTTCCCAATAGCAGAACAATGTCGCCAGATGACTGCTGGGTGTTTCCTTTGGAGTTGGAGGTCACATGTGCTGAGATCAAAATACCTGGCAGATCGTTCTGTCATATCGCTCGTACGGACATCCATCATGCGCATTGTCGGGACTCCCACAGGTGACGTTAGAATTGAAACAATATCATGCGTATCTTCACATTCAAGTTGCTATCAACTTGAACAAGAGGTTTTTAAAACAATATCCGTGTAACTTTTAGCAAGTATGTGGTATATGGGCATCTGGCAGTGTATGACACCACGTGTACTAATATAATTCTTAAAACATCACCTGTGACAAATCAGCCTGTAAATCATTTCATTATGGTGTGGAGGTGTTAAATCACTTTTGTATTTTGTTCAATGTATTTTCTAGAAACGTATACGAACAGTTCATAAAAAGATTGAATAATGTTGGGTTTAATGTTTTACTCATGAATGAGATTATTGGTCTATACACATTGACTGTATTTACTGTACCACATTTTAATAATTTTATGTATAGGCCTTCATGTCGAATGCATGCATTTCTCGGGTCCACAAAGTATGCAAAAAGACGTTTTAGGTTTTTACACTTCAATTTTGATGTTATTTTCACCTTCTTGAGCTTCGTTGTGATACAGATTTGTTTGTATTCAAGATAAACAGGTTGTCTGATGTGCGATTTTTTTAATGAAAGTCATACTTTGGATTAGTGAGACTGCTTCTCACGTTTTATTTAATACATGTGTAAAAATAGTCCCAACAAAACTTGATATGGAGATTCCCCGATAATTGGATTGGTTAGA